AAGCCACAATAATTAGGGTAGTATAGAATGGGCACAAGAACAAATAGACCAACAGAACAAAGAGTCCAGAAATGGATCCACACATACATAGCCACTTAAATTATGACAAAGGTGATATGGCTATGCAGTGAAGAAAGGATGATCTTTTCGATAAACAATGTTGAGTCAACTGGATACCCATACTGAAAAAATAAGCAAAAATAATACTTTGATTCTCCATCTACTGACTCATCTTATTCATTAACTGATTTAGAACCTGGGGGGGAGGGTGGGTATTTAGCAGGAGAGCCAATATAAGTTTCCTAACCTCTCTCCTAAATCTTAGTTACTCTGTCTTCTGTAACCCACTCCTCCCACTGTAGCTTGGAATACTTTCTCTAAACCACCTATCTGATCATGTCACTCTCTTGCTGAAAATAGCTCCCCATTTCCCTCAAGACCAAGTCCAAGCTCCTTAACAAGTCTCACCAGGCCCTTCCTGAGCCAGGTCCTGCTTCTTTCTCTATTCTCATCTTTCCCCACTTCCTGTGAGCCTAGACACATGCTCTTTGCTATTTCTTTTTCCCTTCAAGACATTTATACATGTTGCTCTTCCCATCTTGATAACTCTATGCTCCTTTGTTTGATGAATGTCTACTGGATCCACGGTTCTCAGCCTAAACATCACTTCCTATAGGCCTAAAAACATCACTTCCTATAGGTCTAAACATCACCTCCTGTAGGAAGAGAGTACAGATGCACATGCACACACACTCTCCAGCCTCCCTAACAACTCACTACTTCCTGCCATGCCCAAGGGCTCCTGCGGCACAGCGTTGTGTTCTCAGCCTGATCATGGCATCCCCCGCACTGTATTATTATTGCTTGTTTACTTTTCTGCAACCCCCTGAGAGCAGTGACCTGGTCTCGTTTACCACTATTATCCCCAGTGCTGAGCATACAGTGAGTACTCAACAAATACTAATTGAAAAGAGTTACATTTACAATTTCACAGTATTTTCAGCTATATAACTTTTTTTTATAAGTCCTGTGAGTTAGGATAGGTACAAAAAGTATTCTCATTTTACAGATGGCCCATTTGAGGCTAAGTGACTTTGTCAAGGTCAATCAGCTAGGAAAATGACACCATGCCCTTTCAATCTTATGATATTTAACTTGGTTCATCTTTAGTCACACTGTATTTTCCATTATTTTGATGTAACACATACTTACCTCTGGGCTTAGTTTAAATGGTACATTTTTTCGCAAGGTTCTTTTTTTTCCTTTAACCTTTTATCAAGGGAAATTTCCAACATATACAAAAATAGAGTGTAGCGTCCTGAACCCCCGTGTACACACCACCCAGTTTCAACAACTATCAACTCATGACCAATCTTGTTTCCTCTGTACCCCATCCACTCTTCCATCTTCCAAATCACTAAAAGAAAAGTCCCAGACATTAAATCATTTCATCTGTAAATATTTCAGTTAAATAGTATATTAAACAAATCATTCACAGACATATCCATTTGCTAGTATTAAAAAGACTCATAAACGGGGTCCTTCCTTACAGCTCAATAAGGAAAGCAATACTACTCTATTTCTTTATTGTGGGGGGGGGTGTTATGTAGGCTCTCTCCTGGTATATAATCATCAGTATTCAACCACTCTGGGTAGGGTGATATGGATTGAAGCACAGGTAAAATAAGCACAAAATTTTCTACTAACTTAGAAAAGTGGATCTCAAAAACTTCACAAACTTGAATGGAAAGAATAGATGCTTGCAGCTGTTAATAATTATCATATTCCTTTCTTCCTTCCACCAAGTCATCAAACCAGCCATGTCAGAAGGCCAACTGCCCCAGCCTGAATGGAAGACCTACTTGGGCCTCACCTAACAAATGCTGTCACATGAGATCCACTTTGTGCTTCTGCAAAATCAAAACAGCAAGCTCAATTCTCAAAGGAAACTGCTTTCCTTAAACATAAATCTTGGCTACAAAACCATTTCAGAAGTGATGAGAACCAGGTTGTGCACTAATAAAACATTATCACACTCATCAGTTCTCATGCCAGGTTGTGCAATAACAGAATGAATTCATAAATCTATGCAACTCTCTGTGGCGCCAACAACAGCGGGTAGAGATAGATTTGAATCCTCTTAGATGCTGTAAAAATTGTCCACAGCCAGTAAAGTAGTCTGGGAAGTTTACATTTTCCCCAGAGGCTTCACAATGAGAATCGGGTTAAGGGAGCTGCCAGCATATGGTTTCATTCTGCAAACAAATCACGAATCAAGATGCACACACACGCGCGGACATATATATATTACTCTGATGAAGTTAACATTTCATGTCACCAAGACCAATGCAATAAATCTTCTCTCTGTTTCACAAAGCTGCAGTGAACCACACAACCACTATATTTTCAAGTATATAACTGTTACATTATCCCACCCAGTCCCTTCATTTAATAGATGTCTGTAACCTCTAAAGTGCTATGCTAATACAATTTTAATATTATTCATTCAACTAATACTTACTGAGCATCTACTATGTGGCACACATTGTTCTAAGCACATAGCATGCATCAGTGAACAAAATAAATAATAAACATAATAAAAAATAAATATTGTGTTAGAAGGGGATACATGCTACCGAAAACAACAAATGCAGTGCAAGTGAACACGATGGGCCAAGGGGGCAGGTTTTGGAAGGAGTGTGCCAGGGCAGGCCTCGCTGAAAAGGTGAGGTCTGAGCAAAGCTTCAGGGAGGAGAGGCAGGCAGCCAGGCGGGCAGGTGGAGGCAGAGTATCCAGGCAGAGGAAACCACTGTGGCAAAGGTCCCCCAAGTGGGAGCGTGCATGGCATGTTTGAGGAAGAGCAAGGGGGCCGGGATGGAGTAAGTGAGGGGAGAGCAGTGAGGGAGGAAGTCCAAGCTACAGTAATGGGGACTGGGTCACCTTGGCTCGTGGGCCCTGGGGAGGACTTTCACTGTGGTTCTCAGGGGAGCCTTTAGAGGGGTGTGAGCAGAGGAGTGGAATGATCTGACTTAGGATTTCAAAGGATCACACTGGCTTCACTATTGAGATGAGACTATAGGAGGAAGGGGAGAAGCAGGAAGCTGTATTAGGAGACCACTGCAGTGCTGGTGAGAGGGCAGGGAGGTGATGAGCCACGCTGGATGCTTGACATACTTAGAAGGCAGAGCTGATGGGGTTGCCTGATGGATCAGACATGGGAGGGATGTAAGAGAGAGGAGCCTGGGACAACCTCAGGGCTTTTGTCCTGAGCAATGGGAGGGAGGAATGGTACTGCCTTGAACTGAGATGGGGAAGGCTGCAGGCAGAGTGGTTTCAGGGGGATGATGACAAAGGTCCGGTTTGGACAAGCTGATAAGAATTTAAGATCTTGAAGTGGAGATGTTCAAGCCGGCAGTTGGACATGCGGCTCTAGGGTTCAGGGGAGATGTGTGTTGAGGTAAAAACTTGGGAGTATTATATTTGATGTTGATATTGCTATTAATAGTAACCAAATTTATTATTAGCGGTTAAAACAAATATTAATAGCAATAATAAAAGTCACATACAATGTCCTTCTACGCGGAGAAGAATAAGACTGAGAATCCTAAAACAAAAAGAATTAACTGAGTCAATGGTCACGTTCATTTCAACCACTTGAATAAAATGAAGAAAAACTACATCCATTGTTCCTTCCCAAGATCAGGACTTGCTCTTTTGTAAATAATTACAGGAATCTGAAAGTGACTGTGTGAAACACAAATGAGCTCACAAGCTGGGATACTAACTAGAAAGTTTTCAGATCCTGAGAAACATCATATATTGATTACTAAAAGAAACAATGCTGCCTCAGAGAAGCTTCAACAAAAGAAGAGTTTAAATGAAGCAGTCTTTAATTTCTAACTATCTGCCCTTTCTGCCTTATTCATCTCTAAGGATATTAAGTGTCCAAAAAGTTTCGTTTTCAGATTCTGTTTCTAATGCATGATGACACTGGGCAAGTTTGCTGGGGGGAGGGGGTGGAGGGGACGGAGGCGGGTAGAAGTTCTACAGCTGTGGAAGACGATGCAACTTTTAAAAATTTATCTCACCAAAAAATGAAAAACATTTAAAAGCCACTGGTAAACCTGCATTAGAGATGTTGCCAACGCCTGATCCTCCAAGCCTGCTGGCACAAACGTCAAAGAAAAAATTCAGCACTAAATCGAATTAACAAACATTCCTTAAGCACAGCACGAGTGAAGCTTATTACAATCTGGAAAATTCCACAGTATTTATCAAATCCTAAGCAAAGCTACGATGCTTAGAAGTGTACCACAGTAGACGTCATTGACAGCCACAAGCGCGATGGCTCTGGGTGTGTTGCTATGGCAACCGTGTACTCAGCAGCAACACGCTGTCTGCCTCTTGCCAACCCAGAACCAGAGGCAGAAGAAAACAGCCAGCTTCCTGATGGTAACAACCCAGGGAGTCACAGTGTGGGCCATCTCCATCATTCCCACACGTGGGAGACTTCCTTTTGGCAGTTCGAAATCATTCCCACCCAACTCCTAGAGAAAAATGTACTGTCCCTTTCCTCTTCTGCAGAACCCGTCAACACGCCCAAGCACAAAGCACTAGAGAAATGTTCAAGGAGAGGAGAGAGATTGGCAGGTGCTTGAAAAGTGTTAACGTCACATGTTTAGCTGGGTCCAGGTATGAGGGGCTTTTCTGGGGAGAAAATGGGGAAGTGTCAGTCTATTTGAAAAGTCATCCTCAGAAACATTCTATAGAGAAGAGATCGGTAAGAAAAGCAGCAGCAAACTAGAACACGAGCCTTTTGAGGAATGCTGTTCCCACACAGAGGGAGAGCTGCAAACCACAGAGGCAGACAGCTAGCACGTGAGGATACCGAGACTCCCAAGACCCCAAAAGAGGAAGAGGAATCCTCAGACGCCAAACCCTACATTGTACTTTTGGTCACCCCACATTATGTTGACATAAAAGAGAAACATTGAACATACCTTTTCCACCGGTAGAAAGTCATTTTCAACTTCAATTGACCTTGGTCTTAGTTTTATTGGCTTGTCTTTGAAAATATCTCCAAAGCCCACTCCCTTAACTTTCTTCGGCTGGATTGCTGCAGTTGCAACTGTCCCATTGGCACCTTCGGATTTGGTACTGCTCGAGTCACCCCCATCACTCTCAGAGCCTGTGGTTTCCCTTAAACCTGTCAAGAGGGGGGACGGGGAGAGAAAGAGCTCAGAAATCAGCCATAGCCATGAAGCCCCTCATAACCAGCTGGGAACCACCTCTAAAAGTGTTACTGGGTACAGGGTAACTTGCACTGGTTGTTCTTTCAATATGTTGAATATGTTGTGTTTGGGTGGCTCTGAGTTTTGTTTGATCTCCCCACCCCCAGCCTTTACTGTTACGAAGTGAACGAAAACTTTTCAGAAAATCTAATTTCAAGGCAGATCTCTTGGTAAATGCAACACTTCATCTCTCTTCAGTCGGAGTCTGGTACTGATCCAAATTTATTTTGCTGGCAGCCTGTGCAATAACAACCCTCGCCGCCCCCTCCTTGCCTCCCCGCCCAGTCAGTACCACATACTGTACCTCCAATCTCTATGACTCATGTCAATTAGCAATTAGCAACGAAAGTAACATTTCCTAAAGGGAAACTGTAAAGCTAAAAGCCATTTAAACAAATTAGCAATTAAAGAAACCACACAAAATTATGACTGCCAAAGAATTAAATCTCTTTGGATGGCTTCACAAGGAATAAATGCACACAGACATGTTTCCCTAGGAAAGCATTAAACCAAACTTGACATTGAGATGCTTTCACTGGCAAGATGATCGCGTTTGTTAAAGAGAGAAAGGAAGCTGCCCTCCCAGAGGCCAGAATCCCCCAAATCTACAGCTCTTCTTCCTTCAACACCATCATTTTCCCAAAGGTAAATTCCTTTCCAAAGAAGAACATTGAGGACATGACACCCTTCCTTTGACCTCTTGTGGCATGTGTTGGAAGTCACAAAATAGTTATCAGCAAGACAACATGAATACTTACCTCCCCAGATTCTTTTTTCCCCAGGCTCTGCCCACAATCATGTTCCTAAAAGGAAGAGCCTATTTGTTTCTAGTTAATTTCTGGGTGTACATTCTTACTTTGATGGTCAGTACACCAGTCATGCCATCAAAAGGCAGGATTCAAAGGATGTTTTATGGAATACTAAAGTCTGCCATTAAACCTGTCTCTAAAAGCCTCTAGACGAGTAAGGTATCTCTGGAACATTTACTATATATCTCCTGATGACTACGACGACCTTGGGACGAAAGTAGCCCATCAAATTTGGTTCTCTATTTGCCAAACATGCATTATCTTCCTATAGGTAAGGTGGCCTCCTAGTACATAAGAACGATACACCAAATAATCGCTCACATAAAATGTCATAAAATGTCGAAGTCATTCAAATAAAGAAGTCTCAGTGCAGGAAGAAACTGTTAAATGAAAACAGACAAAATATAGAAAGGTCATTATAAATTGCTAACAAGTTTCAAAATCAAATCCTTAAAACAATGGCTGTTTTTGTTGTTGCTGCTGTTTTTAATAAAACGGTATTTATAAGCCAAAAAGGAAGGGGGAAGGAGGAAGATCCCTGGTGTACATTTTAATTAACTAAAGAATAGCATTTGTGAGCAAGAACAGAGGGCAGAACAATGAGAAGCAGCCCACAACAAGGGGGTCGGCTACAATTTACAGGACTGGATTTGAGTGTGCAAACATGGAGAACCCCTGGAGATTAGCTATCCATTTGTGTGTTTATTTGTTCATTGTTTTTGGAAATATCCCTGCTGGAGATATAATTTTGGAGTCTAAATATTGTGTCATTTCCCCTTTAACATGTTCTCATTTTGCCGTATGGATTCTTTCTATGTGATAAATGGCTTGTATATTCTTTTCTGGCTTGGAAAGAACCATTTGAGGGTGGAATAAAGAAATGGTTAGTGGAAAGAAACCATCACCACCCTCCTCCCTACCACCACCACCACCACCACCACCAGAAGGCAGCTGGGCAAATGGATTGGGGCAAGTCTGTTTTAGTTCTTCAAAGAGAGGAATTTGGAGGATTCTTTTATCACTCCTCATTAGCTAGAACCATAATATTTTCAACCACTGCAACCCTGATTTCACTGAGCTTCTGGTTTCAGAGATTTGCTGCCTTCGGGCTCATCTTAATAGCTTTATATTAATCACTGTACGTTACACAAGGAGAGGTTGCACAGTCAGTCAACCACACAAGCATGGACTGGGAAGGAAACACACGGCAGATATTTCTTCCAGAAATTCTGGCAGCCTGCTTCTATCACTTTTAAGTATGTAAATTAAATATCTGAATATCTGGGTTGGTGAAATAAACTCAAAATCGAGTTCTTTCCCTTTGGAGGGAAAGAAAGGTGACTTTTCATGTTCATGTCTGTTTGATGCCACATCTTTTCGCTGCTGGTGCCCATCACACACACTATCTGATAAAATGTCCCACGTCATGCTCAGCATGCCAGATGACACTTGCAGGCAGTGCGATCCAGAGTGTGGTGTGCAGATTGGGGCCAGTTCATGAAGGACTCATTACTGGTACACAGCAAGACAAGTGCAGAAAGTGCGTTTGGAAACGCTTATAGCAGTGTGCACTGGCACGACTTTCAGACGTGTAGCCTGTGGATGCATCTAGGTGAACAGGGCAAAGACCAATCTCGGTCTGTCCACTGCCCATGGTGAGGCGCAGGTGGCGCACTGCACATGTAGTAAAGTCATGCACAGCAGGATCAGGTATCTGCCCATGGGGGAATGGAAATAAAAACAAACTTCACCACAGACAGTTGAGAAGCACACTTCTGGTGCTCACATCTGAGCCTTCTCTTTCATCACTTCTGTATACATATCCATTTATGCATATGTGTACATGCACAGTAAGGTGGATGTTTTTCCTTCAAGATGAAAAAAGAACAAAGCCTCCTCAAATTTGCTTTGGCCAGGCATGTAACTGTCCACTTGTATGTAAGATCTGTGGGCCATTGTTACTTAGTTTCATTTAACACTCACATGTATAGTGCTTACTGTGTGGCAGGAACTAAGGGCTTCACAAGATTCATTCATTAATCTCATTCATCTCCTTCCCCTCAACTTTTGGCAGCTTTATTTCCCAACACAAAAGGCTACACATTGATCCTGCCAAAAGAAGTCTGCCGTGTGGTGATTGGCTGAATGAGCAAAGCAAAACAGCACTTCTGGCATGGACTTCCATGCCAAATTCTTATTTCTTTGAACTGCGCAATGAAGAAATGGTTTATTGGTTTCCAATGCCCCACTCAGAAAAAGCAATAACCACGAGAGGTTGACATCTCCACAGGAAGCCATCTTACACCACCCCAGAGGCCAAGAGATACTGGTACAAATACATATGCCATGACAAATGCTCCTGATCCCTTCTCTGCACGCATGGTTCATGCACGCACGTCACACACATGAGAGAGGCACAAAGCAAACAAGAAAGCGCCAGGGGCTGGTGATGGGGATGCTCCTGTAGCACACACCAAGGAGACGGCACTTATCTTAGGCAAATAAGTCCATGTCCTTGGATCAGAAATTCACACAGACACTTGGCAGAAGCATGAGCAGCTCAGGAAAGTGCAGCTGCATCAAAAAACACAAGACCCAGATCTTATCTTTACAACCGCCTCCTGCTGTTAAGGTCACTCACTGTAATAGCGTCTGTGGCCCTCCGTCTTTCCTGGTGCAGCTCGGTACAGAATTGTCCCTTCAAAGGCAGTCTTTCCTGACAGTGAATGAGAGAAGAGAAGGGGAGAGAAAAACAAGAGAAGGGGAAGGGGGAGCAAATGATGGCAAAAGAAGGAAGAGGAAGAGTCTTTAACTGAACTTGCCTTCAATGAATCCACTGTAAGAGCTTCATCCGCAAAATTAATTAGAGACCATTAGGCAGAATTTAAGAATGTTACAGAATGAGCCCAAAGTCCCCATGTGACCATGATGCAATGAGGACCCAGAATCAGGGCTTGCCTCTGCACATCACTGGCATGTAGATCACACCCAATTTAAACCCGGAAGCCATTTCAACATGATAACTCAAGAATTGGAAAACCTCAATTAACCAGAAGGAATCCAATTAATTGATTCCTTAATTAATTCAATGGTACAGCACAATCTTCTCTTTGGAAAATATGACCTAAGTACAATATAGATTTAGGCCCATCATCCCTTATCTTCTACCCCTAGAGCCCTGTACAATACAAACTAATATTTATGACCCCAAGATTCTAAACAAGGCATGGAATTCTCTTTAAAAGATTTTATCATCCTCAGTACCTTTAAGTAAGAAAACGTATTAACATACTAGAAGTGGGTTTTCACCAATGAGGTTTAAAACCAATGGTCCATCCATGTCAACGTAAGAGGTTTTCTGCTGAGCACTGAGGACCCCAGAAAAACCTATCACTTGAAACATTTTAATTGAGGCTTTGCCGTATCAGTCATGAGATTGTACTTAAGCATGAGGACATAGGACTTACCCAGTGTCAAATGTCAAATTATCTCTTTTTGTTGTTGTTACAAATAGAGGTCATCAATAGCATAAGACTGGACACGCGGCTAAAGCCAAATCTCTCTGGAACCATGAATAAGTACATAGAATACACACATACTGCCCTGGTTTGAGTGTACACACACACACACACACACACACGCTTGCCCTACAGAGAGTACCACTAGCAGGTAAAACGATTTGCTAAAGGCAATCTCAACTAATACATGCATTAGTCTAAATTATTTAAGAAATAAGTTCTATTATAGCTTGTGTGCTAAATATCAAACTGGAAGCCAGTCTGAGGGATGAAAAGGCAGGCTACATTTACAGAGAGCGAAAGTGAGAGGGGAGAAAACAACTTGTCTCACTTCTTAGAAACACTCCATAGGAAAATGGGAGACCCTAATGGGAACCATAGTGTCAGCTTTTGGGCCATGTCACTCCTAATATATGAAGGGATCGTGAACAATCAGACCAACAACTTAAATGGAATCAAGTATCTCCAATTTCCGTGTCCTACAGGCATGGTGGTACACCCTTGTTTTGAAATCTGCCCTTTTTGACAGATGTGCTCCATCCGATTTAAGCAAAAACTTAGACATTCAAATCACTGGCTATATAAAAA